TGCTAGAGATGAGAGATTGAAATTCTCAAATCTCCATTCATTGCCACATCCCCACATGAGGACACAGCAAGAAGACATCTGTCGGAAAACCAAGAAGAATGTTTTAGTGTGGCCCAAACCGGCCAAAAACTTGATCGTAGACTTCCCAGGCTGTACAGCTGTGATCGGTACATTTCTGTTTCTCAGTCCACCGAGACTGTGGTGTTTGTCATAGCAGCCCAAAATGACAAAGACAATATCCAAATCTATGTGTAGCAAATGACAGAAACCCAGACACACGAAACAACATCAACAAAACCAAGAGAAGAAGTGGGCAAACCTACAAATAGGAACTGATAATTGAGCATTAAACCAGTGGGAGAAATCAGGAATTAATTTGAAAATAGAACCCAGACGACTAATCAAGTCAACTTAACTGGTGCTTACAGGGCTCCGTATCTAACAACTAAAATATCACTCACCAAAATGGACTGTGTGATATACAAGTCTCAAAACACAACTCTGCACTAATATAAGAAAAACATGCCTGCTCTAAAAATGCATTTAATTAAATTGGCAACTGAAAGGCATTTAGATTCCAAATATTGCTTAGACAATATACTTCCACATAGTCCATGCATCAAAAAGAAAACAAAATACATGGGAAATTTAAAAACAATTCAAAAGGAGCACCCTGAAAGTATAAAATATATGGGAGTCAGAAGAGATGCCTCATGGAGAAATGCATAACTTTAAATGCTAATGCTAGAAAAGAGTTCAAACCCATGGTAGATACTACATTCTACCTCATAAACTAAGAAAATAAAGAAAAAAAACTATAATTTAGAGCATAAAGGGGGAAATGCTAGAAATTACAGCAGAAGCCACAGCAACAAATCACAGATTCTCAACTCAACACTGTTGCTGTTAGTGTTTCCATTTGTCAGGGTTGTGCTTCCTGCTCCTATAAATGTAGTCAGTACCAGGCCAGAGACTGTGCCTGGAGACAGTGCAGCAGATCCCAATGAACTGGAAGCTATGACTACAATTTGAACATCTGGGGAATCCATAAAGAGCTCAACCTACAAAGAAAGTTGCTATGGTGATGGGAGAACTCACTGCTGACTACTGTAAGGAGCCGGGGCTTCTGCTGTGAACAATCTATCTAGGAACTGGAAGACTCCTTGGAGCACTGGCCATCTCTGTCTGGCAGGAGTGAGCAGGCCACTGGAGGAAACATGAAGGTAATGAGCAAGGCTCAGACCACTCAGTGACACCTGGATTGTGCCTGCCAGGAAGGGACCCCCAGCTGGCCCCCATACTATCTGGAAGTAAGGAGAAACCAGAGTGTATTCTGGAGGACTAGAAGACAAGCAGCAAACAGGACCTCAAGAGCAGCAAAGCCTTGGACATTTTCTGACAATTTTTGTGTTAAGTCTTTGTGGACTGTTTGGGTGGCTGGTACTGGCAGAGAGAAACCTCGGGATAGAGGGAACTTGAAATTCCAATGAGGGCACGAGCAGTTCTGACGGGGAAATTGTTAGTGGCCTTTACTTGGGTCTCTTCATACTCTCAGCCCCATCTCCCATCCCAGCACTGCAGCAAAGAGTCCAGAAGAGCATGATCAGTCTTGCACAGTTCCTTGCTCTATTCCTACGCTCATTCCTCCCTCTGTCTTGGGGTTCTTGATGTCACGGCATTGGGGTTCCTGTAGAAACATCTTTGTCCATCAAGCACAGAAGTGTGGAGAGAGAAGGCCTATAGGAATATCTTTGGATAGTGGGAGAAAAGCCCATAAATAACAGCGTCTTTCAAAGCTGAGGGGATAGTACCATTGGTAAAGTGCTTGCCGCCCAAGCCTAGAAGTCTGAGTGTTGCCCCCAGCAACCACATAGAGGTCAGGTAGAGAGACATGCACTTACAATCCCAGAACGGGGAGGGAAAGACAGGTAGATCCCTGGGGCTTGCTAGCCAGCCAGCTTAGCCTAATCACTGGGCCTCAGCTCCCAGTGAGTGACCCTGCCACAAATACAAGATGGGCCCTTCCTGAGGAATAACATCTGAGGTTGACCTCTGACCCCTAACACACACATACATATGCACACACAGAGAGAGAATGGGAGAGAGAGAGAGAGAGAGAGAGAGAGAGAGAGAGAGAGAGAGAGAGAGAGAGAGAGAGATTCCTTCTTGTCTCAGGAAGGGCATATTTTAAGTCTCAGAAGGTCCTGAGTGATGGAACCTGTAGCCATCAACTGACTAGAAGCCCTGCTCTGCTGAACTATCTCCTTCCCTGCTTCCCTCCTCCTGCTCTTTGCTCTGGGTCTCCTCCCAGATGAATTGTTCTCATGTGTCTTTGTCCTTGCTTTGAGGAAAACCCAGTTGGGACACAGATTTTCATACTAGAATGTTGATTCCCCTGGCTGCACAGAGCTGTGGTAACTCTTCATGTCTTTTAGAAAGGGTTCAACACAACTTGGAGTCCATGTATTTGGATTAGGCCACCCCACTTGGGAGGGAAGATGTCCTTCCAACTTGACCCCATTGCTAATGGCCCCTTCTTGCCCACAGTTCCTTCTCTTTAGGAGTTCCATTTCTCTGAAACAAACAAACAAGCCAAACATGTAGCTTATCTTTTCACATTAACTCTCCTTGGAAGGTGCCTGGTGCACTAAAGGATTAGCAAACCTCATTTCCCTAAGACGATCCTTCAACCCTCTAGTTACATTTCATTTATTTTCTTTGCTATTTCACAGTCTCTGAACCATGTTTTCCTCTTTTTAAATGGACAGACTGTTTTCTTTGGCACAGCCCCAGAGTACAGCAACAGTTAAAGTCGCTGCTATGTGAAAGATCTGTATTTGTTTAGAATTTACTCTGAAGGCCGTGAGAGCAAGCGACCTGGATTTTAGAAGCAGCCCCAGGAAATTCACAGTATTTTCTTTCCTGTCTTCTTGCCAGGATGCTGGCTTTTCTTTGGCCAATGGCAAGTTGCAGTAAGGTCAAAATTTATGCTAGCTGGGCTCCCCTAAGCCATCGGCCACCTTGCTTTCTCCCTTACCCTTATGGTATACACAGCAAGAACAGCGAGAGGAAAATGACAGCAATGGCTTGGGCTTCCACATGACAGATGAGATAAACAATCTTCCGGATCTATTTTGGAAGTATATATAACCTAGCAAAGGAGAGAGATTGACTCTGTACATATACATCCATCATACCTTGAAGAGTGATCCAATCACAAAATGAACCTCAAGGGAACCCTGCAACCAACCCATAAAGGATGAAAGAGAATGCTGAAGCAGGAGACTCAGGATTGAACGTGAAGACTGACAGATGTTTGAACAATGGGTAGCCCACATCATTTGATGGGAAGTGGTGTGTGTTTTCCAACTTACAAAAGGTTAGAAATCCAGATTCCTTATCTCAGGAGGAACACAGGAGTGACACTGGCCTTGGATTGGGAGACAGAGGTCAGCGGTAGAATTTGATCCACTTTTAGCTTCATTATCAAAATGAAAATGTTTTCTTAGCATGGCAAATAATGTTTAAAAAACATTCGTAAATATAGAGCATGCCTGGTGTTGACTTTGTCCACTTGATTCTCAGTCATTAAGAAAAGGTACCAGGGTTCAGAAGCACAGGGTTCAAATGCTGGCACTTGTCATGGGAACCTCTCTGAAGTCTGCCTTCAGGATGCTCTGGTAATCTGGTTGTAGAAGTTCTGCTTCATGTTCCCTGATTTTTTTTCTTATGAAACAACTCTTTGTACTTACTTCCTGGACAGTAAATAACTGGATTCTGCAGCCTTCCTAGTCAATCCCTAAGGATGTGCTCCACAAATTACCTTCAAGCCTGTTTATTTTGCTTTATCTTCTCCAGGATACAGGGAATAACAGAAGTTGCTTTTGTTCAGGATGACTTAGCCATTCTTTTCATTTTTCTTTGCTGCCTTCTAACTCACAAGAAGGGTTGATAATTAAGGTTTTACTCTAAAGACTTTTGTTTGAGTTTTGAGACAAGGCCTGTAGCTTAGGCTTATAGAGCCAAGGATGAATATTCACTTCACGTCATCTGCCTCTATCGCCTAAGTGCTGGGGTAACAGGTGTGCAGCTCCATAGTGCTTTGGTAGCGCTGGGGACTGAACTTGGGGCTCTGTGCGTGCTAGCCACGTACTCTACCAACTCAGCCACTTCACCAGCCCCACCCTAAAGATATTCAAAATGTGAACAAGTCCAACAGATGGTGACTTTAAGGAAAAATGGCCCATCTTATGGAGAGCAGAATTGTACAGCAAAGAAGGAAATAAGGAAAAGAGGACAGAAGGAAGGAAGGAAAGAAGGAGCCAAGAAGAAAGCAGGGAGGGAAGGAGTGGGCAAATTTTCCTAGGTTCCATTTTTAAAAATAAGATTATAGGGAATGAAAATTAGTGAGCAAAGTTTCATTATCATTAGCAAGGATGTCTTTAGGAAATATGTTGCAGTTACAGACAGCAAATGGCTATCATAATCTTCCTTATTTCATGAGAAAAACAGTCCTTCCATATTCAAAAATGAAATCATATTTTTAGAACATATGGTTGGTTAACTAAGTCCAACAGTTAGTTATAAATCTGCTGACAAATTTTGGTTGAACTGCTGTGCATTATAGAGGCAGAACTGTTGTGCACTATAGAGGCAGAACGGCTGTTTGGGAGAACTTTCCATTTTCAGCTGCAAGTCACGGCATTTTGTACAGACACAAAGTCAGGTCACTGGTCTTTTGCCCAGTCGGGGACTATGATACAGGGTACTTTCCTCTCAGATCACTGTCAGAATGTCACTGTTTTCTGCGTCTTGAGTGATGTGTCTTCTGCCTACAACCCACCTTCTTGGCTTCCACAGAGTATTTATCTCTATTCTATCTATCTACATTCCTCAACTCCTACCACTCTCCCCTTTAATTGATTTTCCCTCCTTGCTTTCAGTTGGTTTTTACGTTTTTGGGTGTTAGCAAAACAAAAGAGAAAACTCATAAATCTTACCATCTCCACCAAGGATAAATATAAGAACATTCCAGCAGTCACTGTTAAGATCCAGTCTTGGACATGTGGATCAGCGGACACTGAGAGACCAATGTAGAGTCCTATGTAGGCAGTCAGGGCACTTATAAAATTCATCAGGATGGCAGTCCTGATGGAGAGTCCCGAACTTAAGAGCACAGCGAAGTCTCCTGGAGTTTGGGCGGGGGGGGGGGGGCAGGAATGACCATCATTTATTTGAAGATGCTTTTGACAAATTCACGTCCTACTAGTTTATGTTTTGAATTGAGCTAATGGAACTGATTAGGAGAGCAAAGATGAATGATCAGTTAGTGAGGCACAGCCACCCACATCTCTGGGGCTCACTGCCCAGTTGAGTTGAGGCTGGAAATGGATCTATCCTTTTCCTCAATACAGCCCGTCCAGAGAGGTCTGTGGTCCATTCTCCAATCTCTGATACCCTGCAGCATTTTCAACTCAGAAAAATGGAACCTAAAGGCACACTCTGGGCTGATGTTCCTCAGTTCATTTCTGTTGTTGCTTTGGCCTAGACCCTTGCCAGGAGAATTGTGATGCAATACAGGCTTTTATGACTTATTCATTCGGGGTCTGTTGTAGGGAAAGAGGAAAACTGCTTAATCAGAGATTTTTAAATCCTTTAAAAGTTGATTTGAGAAACAAAACCTCTCTTTAGAAAACTGTTTTCTACAATGACCAGAGAATATCATCCCTTCTTGTCTTTCCATATCTTTGTGCCAAATGATGAACATTCTACCTGCAAATCTAGAGTGTCTATTTCTCAGACTCCATCACCAAACAGAGGCTGAAATTGAAGAGAGATAACACATGGGACTCCAGTCCCTAATTCCATTGCATAACTCGTCCCAGAAATAGCTTGTGATACCACCATACTGGCCTTCTACACACTGCTACACTGCCCCATGATTTGAGGTTGAGGGTCAAGTACCACACCACTAGCCACTAGTGTAGTAGCTTAACACATGGCCATAGGGTTTGATTCCAACAACAGTTAAATTTTAATGGGCTCAGAAAGGACCTTGGCTAACATGGGTCAATAATAACTTGGTAATGAGACTTTGGGGAATGGAGATTGAACACAAGAGGGCAAGGGTGGCCCATGGGACAACATGAACTTGAAATTGAAAGCATAAGCATGAGCATGTCCTCTTTCTTGCTCTGATTAAACACTCTAAAACCTTAGGGGAAGAAAGGCTTTGTCTTGTGTTATACTTCCATGTCACAGTCCATCATTGAGGGAAGTCAGGGCAGCAACTCAAGCAAGACCTTGAAGCAGAAACCTTGGAGGGATGCTGCTTGCTGGCTCACTCCAGTTCATGCTTAGCTGGCTTTCTTATACAGCTTAAAACCACCTGCTCAGGGAATGGTGTTGCCCACCATGGGCTAGGTTCTCCTAGCCCATCAATGAACAATGAAGACAATCCCTCACAGACTTGTTCACAGGACACCAATCTCATCGAGGAAATCCCTCAATGTACATACCCTTCTGAGGTGACTCTAGGCTGTGTCAAATTGACAATAAAGCTAATTGGCTGGAGGCCTCTCTCTAGGACACCTGTGTAGGCAGCAACCCCTCCACTAATTCTAGGCCTGTTTCAGCAATCCTTATTTTAGTCAGTCTTGGTTCCTAGGAAGCAGATTTGGTATACAAGGTTACAAAGTTTATACAGTAAAAGCGTCTCCTAGATATCTGGTACCTTATACATGTTGCTTCAGTTTTATGCTTAGCCTTAATTATTCTGTATTAATCAGGTTGATTCATGCTTCTATTTTAATTTAAATGTTGTTTTATCTCACAGGCCCATTTTCTGGCACAATGGTTTCTCTCTTAACTTGTTTACTATATTTAACATGGAGACTTTATCATTTATGCCAAAGTTCTTTAGAATAAGACTTCTCTGAATGACTCTCTTCTGTACTGAATTAGCTGGAATTCCTGGGGCATGATTCCTGACCCTTGGAAAGAAGAAAGTGAGCCCCCTTGAGCTTTATCTTGAGGTACAATGTCTTTGTTTGTTTAGTTGGTTGGTTTTTGTTTTGTTTTGTTTTGCTTTGCTCTGCTATGGTTTAAATAAATTAAAAATTGAAAAATAATGTAACCATGTTTTAAAGTCTAGAGAAGAATCCAAGCAAACTATTGCTGGGGATGTATAGGACACCCTCAAGAGGCAGGAACACTTACCCATTTCATGTGGAATTTCATGGCACAAAATAGCAATCGTTGTGGTCACTCCTGACTCCAGTGAAGATGAGAAGGCTGTCCCTATTACTAGGCCATCTGCAAAATTGTGCAGGCTATCCCCAACCAGTATCATGATTGCCAATAAGCTGATAGTTTTGCCTAAAGAACCAAATGAAGGAGTGAGAAGTATTAACAAAGCTCTACAGATTCGAGTTCCTTCCCATCCAAGCACCTTTCCCATCCATTCTGACATTCTTACATTGCACTTCATTAATCAGCCCTACTATACTCTGCTTTAAAAAAAAAAAGCCAGAACTGGAAATGAAATGTGGTACTCAAAAACTTGAAATGGCCACGGTATTTTAACTGCTTTGACCAATTATAAAATAAATGATGTGCTCACATTTGGCCTTTTCATTTTATTAAGCTAAGTGATTTGAATGAGAATGGGCACTGTACATCATATGTTTGATGTTTGGTCCCAAATTGGTGCAACTGCTTGGTAAGGGTTGGAAGATGCTACCCAACTGAAGGAGGCGTCTCCAGGGACAGGTTCCGTTTCATTCTGGGTGCCCTCTCTACCTTCTACTTGTTGTGTGAGATATGAGTTCTCTGCTATTCCTGCCATCATGGTTTTCTTCCACCATCATGGACTCTAACCCTCTGAAGCCATAAGTACGACTAAACGCCTTCTTTTAGAAGTTGCCTCGGTCACGGTGTTTTGTCACATCAATAGAAAAGTAACTAATACATATGCCAAAGATAAAATCTAAAGCAGTGGTACAAACCCTAAAACATTATCAATACCTTTCCTTCCATGCTCTTTGCAAGGCAGTCTAAGATAACTTAAGAACTCCGATGTGTGCAGGATGGTGATGACTCTCACATTATTCATGTGTTGAAACTTGACTTTCTGATGTGATGCTATGAGGAAGTAGAGCATTAGGGAAGTTGCTAGGAGATAAGATGGGGCTACTGCCTTACCCAGCTTGCCATGTGAGGGCACAGTGAGAAGACACCATCCCTGAACCAGAAAGAGGGCCCTTACTTCACCTTGACTTTGGCCATTCAGGTTCCAGACACTGGAAAAGAAATTTCTATCATCTATAAATCACCTATGTATAGAAATTTGCAATGAAATTGGCTCACAGCAATGGTAGTAGATTGAGTCAACTCTCCCACTGGGGTACCACTGGCGTGATGCTGACCATCCAGAGCTCTTGCTCTGATCCTGATGCTCCTGTACCAGTCTGCTCGGTATACTTTCTGTCATCATGAGATCATTGTGTTGCCTGATCTGACTGGGGTTAATGACTCTCCTAAACTGCCTTCTTTGCTCCCCAACTGTGTCTGCAACAGAATCACAATCAACTCATCCAGCTCCCAAATTATCTTTGTAACAATTACTCTCTGTACTTGTCTATCTGCAAAATAACTTTCAGTACCAGACCAGTTAGATACTGAACAAAATAAAGAGATGTTTTCATTTACATAGGATTACATTATATTGTGCTTGCTATCTGCTTAGTAGTTGATGAAAAGATGATCATAATTGGTTTTAATAATGCATTTTAATAGAAATAATTTCTATTTAAAAAAACAATTGCATAATGCAAACCAATTACGAACTTGAGCAACTAACAAAAAGTTCTTTGAGAATAACACTTATTCTGACAGTAAGCTACCTGGGTTATTTCAGTTAACAAGAATAGACATCTAAAACTTCATTATTCAGCTTCAAATACGCTGTGAAAGAGGTGTATGTAGTAGCTGTTGCCATTACTAGAACTGAATATATTTTCTGAATAATTGTACTTAGCAGAAATAGGAAGAGGGCAGTTTCTCAGCCATTGGCATTCATGGACTAAGAATGAGAGGGACTGTTTGTTGTATTTTGTAGTAAGACTACGATTTGACACACTGTATACTTAATTAAGTGATGAACATAGTTTATATTTTCAAGCAAGAGATAGCTGCATTGACTGTCTTACAAAGATGGTCTGTGAAATTGACTTCTAAAGCTCATACTTGTTTGCAAATACTAAGAATTGAATTAATGTGTTAGGGTCTATAGTTCAGTGGTAGAGCTCTTGTCTGGCATGTATGAGGGGTTAGATTTAGTCTGGAAAACAAAAGTATAGAACAAACCTATACTTTTTTCAGGGCTTACTAACTTATTTAATCCCTTGTTTAAACTGGAGAAAGTTCAGGAAGTCATCATAAACACACAGGACAAATACCAAATTTTTGAATTCAGGAGGTTCACTCCAACATTGCCTGAAAGTTCTCAGCCTCTAATGACACTATCATATCACTTAGCTGTTCCTGCCAGTTTTCAAGAACAAAGTTTCTTTTTACAAAATAATTTAATTTAAAGTGATATATTATAGCAGAGCTGCCTGCAAATAACACTGTGTTTTCCTTATGCCTACATGTGGTTTTGATACTGATAGAACACATTCAAGTGCAAGATTTTCAGCAATCTAGCCCTTTCTAGGAAACTATATGGCCTATTTTCATTGTCTATTACTTTATTATCTCTAGTTACAGGCTTCTAAATGTCACAATATGGAAATGTAAGAAGACACAAGTCAAATGCACACAATTGCATGTAAACCACAAACAACACACCACACATCTATGCATATTCAGCATGATCTTTTGTGCATTTAATGGGAGATAAGCATTTGCTGACAATTTAATATACTTGACACCAAAATATAATATTTCACGTTTGTTCATGCACCTGGCAGTCTTCAGAGTCACGCATGTCTGAACTATCTGAGATTCTCTGCCATGAAGCATGGGCTAGAACTAATCCGATTTAGGGTTTTGCTTATTTAAATCAGACTGTGGAGAGGATTTTCACATCCTTTCTTCTGAAATACAAGTTGAGTCCTACCAACGAGGCAACACAAAAGAAGTGACCACATAGTCAAAGCTAACTTGGTGTTTTCCTGGCAAACGGCAGCTGAGTGTTCTAATTTGGATTTACTCACTGTCCATTCTGTATGCCAAGCATGAACCCAGCAGTGGGAAGATGATTGCCATGAAATGGCTGCTGCTTCTTGGTGTGGTTTCCACACTCTGCTCCTAATTTGACTTGACATATCCCCACCCCCTTTCCTTTATTTCAAAAGTAAAAACAACAAAGCCTGACATAGACCCTCTCTGTGCCAAATATTCCAAATTCATGCTGAGACTAAAAATTATACAAGGATTAAATAATATTCTTGAGCTGTAGAGATGACTCAGTAGTTAGGAACTCTAGCCACTCTTCCAGAGGACCCAAGTTTGATTCCCGGTACCTACATGGTGGCTCATAACCATCTTTAACTCCAGTTCTAGGGGCTCTGACACCCTCCTCTGACCACCAAGGGCACTGCACTTGTAAAGAGTACAGACATACAGGCAGACAAAATATTCACATACATAAAACATTTTTTAAAGATATTTATAAAAGAATTAAAGTGTCCTGGAAGCAGAATGGTACAGAATATGAAATTAAATATTTTAAACCAAATTAGTAAATTACAAGACTTAGTAAAGCTAAAACAAAGCAAGCATTGTCATAATAACATCTATGGTAGTAATATGTGTTTATTCTTGTTAGTATTTACATTCCAAGCTACGTGGCAAACTACAGACAATGAAGATATGCTTCTTCTGTTCTCCAGAACATACAGAAAGCCTCAAGCATAGCACATCTTCAGACTATTTTGTCCATGCTGGTGATCAAATTCAGGGTCATATACATGCTAGGCAAATGCTTTACCGCTGAACTACTGCCTCAACTCCCCAAAATATATCTTGAATGAATAAAAAAATTGAGAGAATCCATCTATGCATGCATGGATGAGCACAAGGAAATTTTGATGTAATGCCATTGCCTTTGTTCCTGGATGCTAGGGCTCAGTAGCTGTGTAACTTATCCAACAACTGCTTCTTCATTTGTATAACTTAACGGTGCTTACTCTTACTTCATCGTGCTATGGGAGAATCGAGTGAGATCATTCATCCCAAGTGTTTACCTCAGTACCTCATTCCATGATAACTTTTTATACTCGATCACCTAATTTATGGGAGAAGTGGAGTAGCTAGTTATGACTAACTAGCATTCAAACACTATGAAGTTTTTGTTACAGAAAAAGTAACATAAACAGGAAAGGGGCAGGTATAAGAGCAACTGATGAGAATCACACCAAACACAAACAAAACTTCAAAGGCTTATCCAGAAACATAAGCAAAGAAGAATGGAGGTAGAAAGTACATACGTTAAAATCAGAAATAAGAGAGACAAACCAAGCATGATGGTTCATGACTGTGTGCCCAGCTCTTAGGAAGCTGAGACGAGAGGGTTGCCATGAGTGACCGGTCAGCTGGCCTACATAATGAGTTCCAGTCCAGTCTGGCTAGAGGGTGAGACTCTGTCTCAAATAAAAATCTTCCTCCCCACAACAGAAACAAATTAATTGAGGAAATCACAAAAATAAATATTGATAGTTAACCGCCAGACAAATAAATGAGTCTTAGAATAAGACATGAGTGAAAACCACTGACTGGGATGTGGCTGTTTCAGAGATAGTGTGACAAATGAGACAGCTCCTAAGAGAAAATAAGAATGTAATTCTGCCTCCATAAGTAACAGTGAATTAGCCGGCCATGGTAGCACACACCTTTAATCCCAGCACTCTGCAGGCAGAGACGGGTGGATCTATGTGAGTTCAAGGCCACCCTGGTCTACAGAGCAAGTTCTAGGACAGGCTCCAAAGCTACAAAAAAACCCTATCTTGGAAAAAAAAAGTAATAGTGAATAAAAGGTCTGGAATACTATAGAAGTTTGATTTTAAAAGAACCCTAGAAAATACATATGCATATACCCTAATGGAAGATTTCAGAAAGTGGCATTAAATAATTGAAGAAATAAATTGTAAATAATGGAATGAAGTTAATATTGGTATGGGGTGTTCTTAGGAGGCAGACAAGAATGGGTGCTTACTGGAGATCATATTGCAAACCTTTTCATCATGAAATAGAGACCCACTATGCAATCTTGTTGGGTTTGACATATTTGTTTAAAAACAGATATAATCATTTTCTGTGTCAGTTTTTATATTTAAATTTTAACCATGTAAAATTGGGACTCACATTTTCTGTTGGAGGTTAACACATCGCCAATGGGTAGCTCAGCTGTCTGTGAATCTTCTGGGCCTTTCTATGTTAAATTAAAATATAATTAATGAAGGGTGAGTAACTGTCACATGAGGTTGAAACATGAAACATCTAAAGAGTTACATTGACATTTAAAAAACATTTTACTACTCCAGATCCATATTAGAACTGCCATCTTACATATACAACATACAAAGTAGAACAAGGTCTATGAGGAGAACATAAACTTTGTACTACCCATGTACAGGGAGAAACTGCATTCTCCACAGAGGACTGATGCTTCTGAGCTAACAGGTTGTTCACTCAAACCTTTTAAGTTACATAAGACTTTACTAAAGACAAAAGTTTAGAAAATGGTCCTTGACCTGATTTGACATGTCTCCTGAAGTCTGTCCTTGCATTTATCTCTCAGTCCATAAGTGGATAGAACACTCTGGCTAGAGAAGAAAAACCCAAGTAAACCCAAAGTCTTACTCATTCTCTTTAGCACAATGCTCTCTTATTGCTTTGTCAGGCAGTGAGAGAATTTTGCCCATATACAATGTCAAACAATAGACACAAAAGACAACTAGATTATTCAAAGCTTTCAACTTTGTGAGATTCTGAAATGGCCATGGGCACGAGTTAAGATTCTAATTTCAGAAATTGGACTGTATGTAGTTCAATTTGTGATCTTTATTCTCTGTCTGTACTTAAGATTCTTACTCTAAATTATAAAGAGGACACTTTTAAAATAACCATTCCACCACAGCTGAGCTTGTTGGCTTACTTCTAGGGACTTGAATGAGGGGATACTTGGAGAAGCGTGAGTGACCCACAACGGTCACATCACCAAAAAGTTTCACCCCAGTGTGGATTATGACTTTCCCTTGGCTGTATAAATGGAATATCACCAAGGATACATTTTATCCACTACTAAATATTTCCTTTAAAAAGTGAATGCATGCCAGAAGAGGGAGCCAGATCTCATTACAGATGGTTGTGAGCCACCATGTGGTTGCTGGGAATTGAACTCAGGACCTCTGGAAGAACAGCCAGTGCTCTTAACCTCTGAGCCAATGTACTGCCTCCTGTCAACATTGTATACTTCTATTTGATGATTTTTGTGTCAAACATTATATGGAAATGTTTCCAAGTATTTTCTGTATTAACTGTGAATGAATAGAACAAAATAAATTGCCTGTGATGGGAAAAAACAAACAAACAAAAAAAAACCAAACAAACAAAAAAAAAGTGAATGCATATAATTCTTTCAGCCAAAGTTGTGGAAACTGACAACAAATTTAACATAAGACAAAAACTTAAGGTATCATTGTCATTGTTACATAAAAGTAAAGCTGAAGTTCACAGGTAACAGCAGTTGTTCAAAAGATGGACTATTTGGGGAGAAGGAGGGCTGTGGTGGTATTGTGTCACCCAAAATATTGTGCACCCTAATAAACTTAACCGGGGTCAGAGAACAGAACAGCCACTAGATATAGAGGCCAGAAAATAGTGTCGCACATGCCTTTATTTCTACCATTCCAGAGGTAGAGATCTGCCTGGATCTCTGAGTTCAAGGCCACACTGGAAACAGCTAGGCATGGTGACTCACAAGCCTTTAATGCCAGGAAGTGAGCCTTTAATCCCAGGAAGTGATGGCAGAAAGCAGAAAGATATATAAGGCGTGAGGACCAAAAACAAGAAGCATTTGGCTGGTTCAGGTTTTAGGCTTTGAGCAGCACAGTTCAGCTGAGATTCATTTTGGATGAGGACTGAGAGGCTTCTAGTCTGAAGAAACGGGATCAGCTGAGGAACTGGTGAGGCGAGGTGGCTGTGGCTTGTTCTGCTTCTCTGATCTTCCAGCGTTCACCCCAATACCTGGCTCCAGGTTTGATCTTATTAATAAGAACTTTTTAAGATTCCTGCTACAGAGGGCTAAGAAAGGGGAGGGGTTATGGGGCACAGCGTATCTCCTTGCCTGAAATGAGTGAGCATAGAAAAAAAAAAGCCAGTATGCTAATTATGCCTTATCCAGACATGTACTTATGATCACAAGCTCTATGGTTCTACTAAAAGACATAAATTCAAATATTTACGTCATCCACTTTACCTGAAATCTATATATCATCTCACAGTATAATGGAATTTAGAGGCAAGCCTCCAAGACCTTATACATGAGGAAAAATAATAAAGTTTCCTTCTTCTACTTACACTTTTCCCAAAAAAGGAAGAAAATCAAATCAATCTGATATTAACTCAATTTTTCTTTCAATACTCTGCTTAAATGAAAAATGAATTGTGACTATGTTAGGGTAAGGAGTGTCCAGACAGTTCAAAGCTCATTAAGTCATCTTCAGAGATTTGCTTTCAGAGATGTTGGAGCTCCAGACCTCTCATTTCAATCCCAATAGTAAAGATAACAGGAATATGATTTTTCAAACTAATCCTAGCCTTAGGCTATCCTCTGTCACACCACATTTTAATGTACCTAAACAATAAATATACTAAAACATTAAAAGAATTTCTATTTCATTAACTAATTATTATCATCACCATCATTATTATTATGCTTTTCTGAGGCAAGATCTCACTATGCAGGTAGCTAGGAAATCACTATGTAGACCAGGCTAGCCTTGAATTCAAGGAAATCCACCTGCTTCTGCCTCTCCAGTGCTGAGATTAAATGTGTACACCACCATGATCAGCTTTAAAATAATTTTATTTAGTTAGTTTATTTATTTTACATCCTGACCCAGTCTCCCTCACTCCTCTCCTCCCACTCTCTCCCCATTCTTCCCCTCTGACCTCCCAATCCACTACTCGGAAAGGGGCGGGCCTCCCCTGTGCATCAGCAAAGCACAGCCTATCAAACTGTGTAAGACCAAGCACCTCTCCCTGTGTTCAGTGTGGGCAAGGCAATCAGCATGAGGAATAGATTCCCAAGAGCCAGTCAAAGCACCCGGGACAGCCCTGCTCCAATTACCAGGAGTCCCACAAATAGATCAAACTACACAATTATTACATATATGCAGAGAGAACTAAAATCATTTTTAAGGGAACTCTTTTATGTCCCCATCTCAGAGTTAACATTAGATCTGCAATCTCTGGCTCCTTTCTCATGCTGTGTGTATATTACATGTGTGTCTAGCATCTTTTCTTTTAAAGCTTCTCCTTAAACTTTGACCTCCATACAAAAGTCATGTTCACAAGTTTACAGTTGTATGCTATTTCCAATTTCCCCTGTCCCTATATGTTTTTGTTTAAGAAATAGAATGAGATTATTTTTGAACTTGATTTGAATTTTATTTTTAAAATTAATATGGAAAATTTTGTTGTGAAAATCCATCCGCATCAATAGTACTTGCTATGGCACACATCACTAGACAAAATAGGTTCTCTTTTAGATTATAAAAGGAACATTCTCTTCCTAGACAAACTAGCAAATCCCTTGCCCAACATTTATTTTCATTAACCAAGAAATGACTTAGAATTATACAAAATGGAAAACCCAAAGGTCAACTGGCTTGTGAAAACAAGTAACTAAAATGATGAAAATTATTGTGTCAACCCGATCCGTGGGTGTTACACAATTCAGACAGTGGTGAGTTAACACATTATCTGTGGATAGTGTGCTTTGTGCAAAAAAAAGGAAGGAAGGAAGGAGGAAGGAAGGAAGGAAGGAAGGAAGGAAGGAAGGAAGGAAGGAAGGAAGGAAGGAAGGAAGGGAAAGAAAAGAAAAATAGCTTTCAGGTGCTTGGCAAAGTTTTCCAAACCGTGTTCCTAATGGTCAAGAGCAGGCAAATGGGGAGGAGGTCCTGCTCATTTACCCCGCTGAGCTTCCTCTATGCATGCAAGCGCACAGAAAAGGCAGCTGAAACTATAGACCACTTCAGACCTGTGACCTACCAGTTGGATGGTCGAAACAGACTTGCCTCCACCTGACCGGTCATCTAATTCAGGGTTGAGTGCAAGGTGGTGGGCATGTCCCACGTGTCCATTTACCAATGGCAGGTCCTGTAGGATGGGGACAGTGCAAAATTAGCCAGAGGCCAGAAGCACACATATGTAGACTTTTTCAGTTCCATGCTCTATCATTTAGCTTATCAAAGTTCTGGAGAAGACACATGAAAAAACTACCTGGAAAATCTCGTAGTGATAAGTATTTATTAAAATATCTCACCTTGGAAAAACATTGCACATACTCAGAATACATTAACAATGTGACTTCAGAAAGTCTAGCTGTGACTGAAAGAGGTTGAAATGGAAGTAGTTTAATATTATTGTTTTATTTACTAAAAATTACGATTGCAGAAAAATTGAATTTTAATTCTTTCTGATATAGGTACAAAAATTATTATCAAATTGTATATAATGTCTCCCCAAGTACATTATTATTCAATTAAACATTTGTGAACATTTGAACATCTGTATTCCTTTTATTGTGTACAATAACATGGACCTTAAAAATATGTTGTCATTATTATTAATATTGCTAAATGTGTCTCACACACATGAGACACAGCACTTGTGTGGCGGTCAGAGGATTGCTTTGTGGACATTAGGCCCTCACACTTCTCAAATCTGAAATGATCAACTTTTTAAACAACCATGAGGGTAAAACCAAAGATTTCAGCAACTGCCCAGTAACAGGCTTTTAAAAAACATTAATAACTATAGTTTAAGAAGAACATGTTAGTCAGATGATCTGTAGGTTATTGAAACTGCTACGTCTTCCCTTACATAGATGAATTCATGGAAATGTCACTAATTTTTTCTCAGGACTGGGGATCAATCCCTGGTCCTTGCACATGCAAAGCAAGCACTCTACCACCAAACTGATTCCCAGTGTTTTAGTTTTTTAATCTTTAAATTAATTAGATAGTGAATTAATTTAGTTAGTTAGAGATAGCCTGGGCTAGCCTTGAACTCTCTATATTGCTGAGAATGACCTTGAACTGATCCTCCATCCTCCACCCTCCAAGTGTTGGTGTTATAGTCTTGTACTATCACGCCCAGTTCATATAGTGCTGAGGCTCAAACCCTCAGAGCCTTGTGCATGCTAGGCAAGCACTGTAAGTTGAACTACATCCCTAGTCTCCCTATTTATTTATTTATTTATTTATTTATTTATTTATTTATTTATAATTTTAAGAAAGAGTATTGCTCCGTACCTCAGGCTGGCCTTGAAATTGTGAACCTCTTGTCAGCCTCTAAAATTCCTGGGATGAAAGGCATGCACTACAACATACTGGTTACTTTTACGTTTAAAGAAGTATTTCTGAAATCAATATAAATATAATAAAACCTTAAAGCAAAGGATAAAGGAGACATATACCTTGGTATTTGGTGGTACAAGAAGGATAAAACATTTTTCTATTATGAAAAATCCGTGGATGCCTCCAAGCAATCCTAACAGCTTCCAAATAGGACTCTGGCTATCATGGAAATGTCCAAGTTCTGAGGCTTCCTGCTTATGTAAACCAAGAACCTTAAAAAAAAAAAAATGAAAGAAGACTCAGGCCAGGGAAGCAGGTAGGCTAACAACAGAACTTCACCTCTCCCTCCAGTCCTGCAAATCCAACTCCCAGACTTATCCCCAGCTTTGTGGCAGAACACTTGCTGTGGCCTCACTTCTCCTCTGTCCCCATCTCCAGTGGATCACACAGATCTTCCAGTCCAAATTTCTCTCTCCTACTCATTACCTTACCCAGCCTCCCAACTCCAGCAGGCACTACCTGGCAACCCACAGGATACTCCCGCCAGGGAAGCAGGGAAGCTAACTTCAGATCTTCACTCTTCCTCCTCTCCTCCAAATTCAACCCCACTTGCCCCCCCATCTCTTTAACAGACCTCCTGCTGCACCCTCACCTCCTTCCCTGCCCCCCATCTCCAGTTGAACACACAGATCTTCTCCTCCAACCTTTCTTTGCTCTAGTTACCACTTTATCCCAGGCCCCACTCTGGCCAGGGAAGCTGGTGACCTAACTGCAGCTCTTCACTGCTCCATCCTCTCCTCCACATCCAATGCCTCTTAGTTTTACCCCCATCTCTGTGGCAAACCATGTGCTGCCCCCTTCCTTCTCTGTCTCTATCTCCAGCTGATAACTCAGATCTTTTCCTCAATCTTCCTCCCCACTCCTTCTGTTATTCCAGCCCCCACTCCAGCAGCCTTTCCTGGGAACCCACCAGCCAAACCTACCAGAGAAGCAGGCAGGCATGCTTCAAGTCTTTACTTTCTCTCCTCTCCTCCATTTCAAATCCCTCAGGCTTTCTTCAGCTCCTTAGCAGACTGTGGCCTCTCCTCACTTACTCTCTACCCTCATTGCCAGGGGACTAAGCAGATCTTGGTGGAACACCCTGTTTTTCTCTCTCCTGTGGATCCCCTCAGCTCCCTATCCTAGCCCATACCCATCCCTAAGTGTTACCTCCTAACACACATTTTACCAGAATCCAACAACAGCTGCACCTATTATATCCCAGAGGAATTTCTTAACAGGTACCACATAGCCACCACAACCTAAGAACCAGAGAGGGCAACAGAAACAAAGGAACAAAACACTCACCCGACAAAGACAAAACCAGATATCAGCACCTAGAATTACAATCTTCCAAACCCAGATGTCTAGATACCAGTATAAAAACACAATCAATAACAACCAGGACAGAATGTCTCCACTAGAGTCCAGTAACCCTACCATAGTAGGCCCTGAAAACTGCAACATAACTGAAGCACAAGACAAAGACTTTAATAAAGCTTTTATAACTATGATAGAGGTCCTTTAAGAGGAAATTAATAAATACCTTAAAGAAATCTATGAAAGCACAAACAGTGAAAGGAAGTGAATAAAACATTTTAAGATATGAAAGTGGAAATCGAATCAACAAACAAAACCCAAACTGAAGGAAACCTGGAAATGAAAATCTAGAAACCCAAACAGGAACCTCAGAGACAAGCATCACCAACAGAATGCAAGAGATTAGAAAAAAGAATCTCAGGGCATTGAAGATATGATAGAAGAAATGGATACCTTGACCAAAAAAAGTTAAATCCAAAATAATCCTGGCACAAAACATCCAGGAAATATGGGATACTATGAAAAGACCAAATCTAAGACTAATAGGAATAGAGGAAGGAGAAGAAACCCAGGTCAAAGGCCCAGAAAATGATCCTAACCTAAAGAAGAGATGCTATCAAGGTACAAGAAACATACAGAACACAAAATAGATGAGGGTGAAGAAAATTCCCTTGGCACAAAATGATCATAACACTAAACATACAGAATAAAGAAAGAATATTAAAAGCTGCAATGAAAAAAGACCAAGTAACATTTAAAGGCAGACCTATTACACTAATACCTGACTTTTCAGTGGAGAATCAAAAAGCCAGAAGGGCCTGGACAGATGTGCTGAAAACTCCAGGAGATCACAGATGCCAGTCCAGACTACTATACCCAGCAAAACTTTCAATCATAATAAGTGGAAAAAATAAGACATTTTACAATAAACCAAATTTAGGCAATAAATATCTACAAATCCAGTCCTATAGAAGGGGACAGAAGGAAACCCCCAAATTAAAGATGTTAACCACACCCAAGAAAACACAAGAAATAAGTAATCCCAGACCAGCAAATCAAAAGAGAGGAAATCTCTCTCTCTCTCTCTCTCTCTCTCTCTCTCTCTCTCTCTCACACACACACACACACACACACACACACACACACACACAGAGGACATCAAAACAGCAGTAATCAAAAAATGCTAAACCTTGCCAATCTCTCTCAACATCAATGATCACAATTCCCCAGTTTTTTTTTTTTTAAGCACACAGATTATCAGAATGGATGCTAAACAGAATCCATCCTTCTGCTGCAACCAAGAAACATACCTTAACATAAAGGATAGAAATCACCACAGGGTAAATGATGGAAAAACTATTCCAAGTAAACGTACCTATAAAGCAAGCTGATGCAGCCATTTTAATATCTGAAAAAATACACTTTACACCAACACTCATCAGAAGAGATAGAAAATGACACTATATACTCAAGAAAGGAAAAAATCCACCAAGAGGACATTACAATTCTTAACATGTATGCACCAAACACAAGGGAACCCAAGGTCATAAACACTACTACAGCTTAAATCTCATGTTGATCTTTACACACTGATAGTGGGAGACTTCAGTACTCACTCTTGCCAATAGACAGGTCATCCAGACAAAAACTAAATAGAGAAATGCTGGAGCTAACTTATGTCAGAAACCAAACATGAAAAACCAAACACATCCACCCAAACACAAAGGAATATATTTTCTTCTCAGCATCTCAGGAAACTTTCTCCAAAACTGACCATCAGGCACAAATCAAATCTCAATAGATGCAAGAAAACTGAAATAACACCCTGCATCCTATCAGACCACCATGGATTAAAGCTTCATATCAACAACAACAAAAGCAACAGAAAGCTTACAAACTCATGAAAGCTGAACAACTCTCTACTACATAAAAAGTTAGTCAAGAAAGAAATTAAAGACTTTCTAGAATTGAATGAAATGAATATACAACATTCCCTAACTTACAGCACACAATGAAGATAGTTTTAAGAGTGGCACATATACGCAATGGAATACTACTCAGCAGAGAAAAACAATGACATCATACTGTTTGCAGGCAAATGGATGGATCTAGAAAAAATCATCCTGAGTGAGGTAACCCAGACTCAGAAAGACAAATATGGTATGTACTCACTCATAGGAAGAT